CCTCCAACGAGTGGTAACGAGTATGTGGTCGATCTCCTTGGCTGCATTACCCGCATCATTGTACCATGTCCAACGATGTGGGTCTGGGTGCTGTACCAAGAGCCAGAAATCCTTAATTTCTGGGACCTATATATATATATGTATATTGTGTGTGTGTGCCTATATGTAAGGATATATATATATATATATATATATATATATATTATATATATATATATATATATATATATATATATATATATATATATATATATATATATATATATATATATATATATATATATATATATATATATATATATATATATATATATATATATATATATAATATATATATATATATATATATATATATATATATATATATATATATATATATATATATATATATATATATATATATAATATATATATATATATATATATATATATATATATATATATATATATATATATATATATATATTATATATATATATATATATATATATATATATATATATATATATGTATATATATATATATATATATATATATATATATATGCATATATATATATATATATATATATTATATATATATATATATATATATATATATGCATATATATATATATATATATATATATATATGATATATATATATATATATGCATATATATATATATAATATATATATATATATATATATATATATATTATATATATGCATATATATATATATATATATATATATATGCATATATTATATATATATATATATATATATATATATATATATGCATATATATATATATATATATATGCTATATAATATATATATATGCATATATATATATTATATATATATATATATATATATATATATATATATATATATAATATATATATATATATATATTAATATATATATGCATATATATATATATATATATATATATATATTATATATATATATATATATATGCAAATATATATGCAAATTATATATATTATATTATATATATAATATATATATATATTATATATTATTATATATATATATATAAATAAATGTTATATTTTTTCTAAAGATGAATTATATTATTTTCCTTCCATTTCAGGTAATAAGGCATGCACTGCGCCTGTTTATATTGATGTCAATGAAGATGTAGATGTTGCTGTTGGGCCTTGTTCAGAATGTGGATATAGTGACTTTGAACCAAGCACAAGATCCAGATATTATGAAGTCCTGAAGTTTAGTCAAGAGGAGATCAAAACAATGGAAAACAACAACTGCTTTTGTATCCTTTTTTCCAGTGAAAAACTCCTTGCAGAAATGTTGTTAAGGTCATTTGTATTTTTCTGTGATTTTTAGTACACTTTCTAGAGAACATGTATCTTTACAGACATCTGCTTTAGTGTCGATTCCGTGCCCTGTTTACCCTATGGATGATCAGTATTTTATAGTGTCAATGGGCCTGGCGACCTTTCGCACAACCTATCATAGAGGCCCTTTCACTTAAAATTAGTTTTTATACTGCTGTGCCATGATTGATCTTTGACAGGGACTTACACTCTTTGGAAAACTTTGCACCCCAATAGCTTATCTTTGAAAAAAAAAATCAAAAAGTAGATTCTGCTTTGCACTGTTGCTCATAAATTATATGGACAGCGAACAGTTTTTATGAAGTGAGAGAGGGTGACCATATAGAGGATTGAAGATATGATTTCACAGATATTTCGTATTCTTTTATTTATATTTGCTTAACCTGGAAAACAGACTTGGACATCTGCAAAAAAATACTGGAACTTCAGGAAAATATATTTCACAAATTAAATGTGTGGCAAGCCAAAGCATTGGATTGTGGCTTTGAAGCTGCAATTGGAGTAAACATGTTCGAAATTGCCAAGAAGTTTGGCATTGAAAATGTGGATGCTATCAAGTAAGTCAGCACTTGAATGTATATTAACTTTTGGATCTTCAAAAATATTGTAAGCTATAGTGACAGTAGGAGTGTATTTTTTCTTTGCCATATCAGATTTACTTGTAACAATATTATCTGTATATTTATTGTTCTGAATAGATGCCAAGGTACCCTGGTTTGCCGTGGGCAATAATCAAAGGTGCCTCAAGATTCTATATTAAAATAAAATCGCGGATACAATAGGCCACCCTCAATCTTCAGGCGAGTATTGTATGTCATTTTGGCATGCAATTTATGCTCATTTTGTTTCGAGAAGCAGTAATTGCCGTTTTAGGGTAAGGGATGGAGAGGAGGGACGTCTGAATACTCCGTGAGTGTCGATACAGACATCGCGGTCGGCCAGAGGTAACTCGTGTGAGGGTATATTAGATCAGTGTGGTGTGAGAGAGAGAGAGAGAGAGGCGGGGGGGGAGTTATACTAACTGGGGTAGCAGTGGGCTCTGAATGACAGAAATACAGAGAAAGAGAGGGGGTTAAATGAGGATGAGCATCGCTGAATACTGGAGGGTTGATAAATAACAGACTCCAGTGAAC